GGGGGGGGGGGGGGGCAGGTGAGACCGCCCCGTACAAGAATGAGAGGAAGCGGGGAAGGGGCGCCGACGGGGTCGAATGACATCGATTCCAGCTACTGAACGCCTCTACCGTAAATGGCGGCTCCCCCCTTTACAGGGGGTAAAGCGTGGACTGGGAGGATGAAAACCCGCTCTTGAGGACTGACTTATTCCCCGCTCCTCCCAGACTATGGGAATGGCTAGGGGGAGCGTGGCGGATACTCTTTGCTATCCCTGAATAGGGATAAAGAATGTCTAATCCGGGTGCTTGAGTTAATAGTACCTGGGCCGTCGGCCATTCACAAACAAAAGGAGAGCCCAGCCAGGAGCGAGGAAACTAATTGGTTCCCCACCGAGGCAGGGAGCCGGGGAAATAATGCCAGAAGCAATTCCCTGGCTCCCCAATAAGCCCCAAGGAAGGCACCCGGCAGGGGTTTTAGTGGGTAGGGCTTCCTCTTATCAAGAGCGGAGAGGAGTTTCACATAACCCGCGGTCCTTTCCAGAGGATCGCGAGTATGCGTAATGCATTTCCTCCGCTTTTTTTTTTTAATAAACCAGGGGAAATGCATTACGCATGCCCACAGTCCTTGGGCGAGGACCACGGGTTATGTGAGACTCCTCCCCAAATTATTTGGGGAGACCATAACCACAAAAACCTCTGGCGGGTCTGTCCTTAGTCCTTGGTGGAGACATCCCTGGAACCATGTGAGCATTACTTCAGGGACGCCTCCTTGCACAGTCCACTGAGGACCCATTCTTAGGCCGGAAGGGGGGACTTTCTCCTCTCGGCTTTTCTTATCAGCGGCGCGGTGCGATTCAATACCGCGCCGCCTCCATCCCGGGCCGTTACTATGGAAAGGGCGCACCCCCGTGCATCCCTCTCAACGGCCCGAGTGGGAGGGGGGCCCGGGAGGGTTGAGTAATCAATCCAGGCCCCAGATCCTCCCTCGGCTGAACAGCCGGCGTGGGCCCCGATCGAGATGGTTAGATCGGGGCTTTCTTTGCCGGATCCCCCGGTAGTAATCCCGGATACTCCGTCTTCGGTGCCATTCTCATTGGCGCCAGGAAAGCGGCCTCCCGCTCACCTCACGGCCCCCTCCCGACCCCCTGGAACGCCCCCGCTTATGGCCTGGCGGTCACGCCTTAGTCGCCGGCTCTCCCTTGCTTAAGGCGAGCGCAGGACTATCCATGCGGTAGTCCGCATTCCGGTCTTTTTCGTGATACATTACGCCCTCTCGGTGCAGTCCCTCGCGGCGTGCCCGGCTCGGCCATCGGAAGCAATCCTGACACCGGTCGGTAAGTCCGTAGCAGGATACCCGGACATGGCCGAGCCCCAAACATCTAAAGCACTGAGGTGGTTGGTTGAACGGAAACTCCACTTTTACCGTTGCTCACCCGAGTGACAACTTCCTAACCTTAGCGACGGCTGAAGCCGCGCCCAGGCTGCCCCCAAAATCCTTGAGCTCCACCTTACGGGGTCCAAACGCACCTTTTTCTTGTCGCAGGCCTCGCTTGTTGCTTCCCTGACTTCCGAAGGCAGGACCGATTTGTCTATTCTGACCGGATTTCCTCCACTCTCAAAAGTCTGGAGACCCTCGCCTCTAGCGCCACTTCGCGGAGCCTTCTGGCGAGGGTTTCCGCGTTCGCCTCCCTCTCTGGGCCGGCCAGCCCGATAAGGAGGCCGCCATCTGCAACCTTCCTAACAAAGGCCGGCTCCCTATCTCCTCCAAAAAGAATTGCCCCCTTCACTCTTCTAAGGACCTCCGTGAAGGTGAGGTTCCCTTTTCCTAGTCTCACAGTCACCGCCGCCATCCTCGGCGGCGGCGGGCTCGTTTCTGCTGGGCGCTGCGTAGGAACCATAGGGGGAGGATACGCCGATCGATCACTCGGCGTCGCGCTCCGGTCCCCCCGCCCTCACCTTGTTTTCCAGAGACGGGCCAACTGGTCCCTTTTGGTACTATCCTCTGTTTCTCTTCTTCCTCCTCCTGGGTGTTCTCCATTCCCCCTTCCCGCAGAGGTGGGGATACCCCGCGCGTTTCCGCTAGCGACCGCGTTCCTGATCCTCGGGGGAGGGCGACATCCCTGAGTGAGGATGTCGTTCGATCTTTCTTTTCAGGCGCTACTTCCGGGAAGGGATATGACGCCCGGTCTCTCCCCGTCATTCTCTCTTCTTCTCTCGCCTTCTTCAGAGAGCTGAACTCAGCTTGGAGGCGGGCTATCTCATGCTTAAGTTGAGCCACCTGCTCTTTTCTTCCTTTTTTTTCTTTCTCCGCACTTGCCTGTCTCTAAATATCAGACTGCTATGCGGAAATTTTATAGCGGTCTGCCCTGCTCTCAGCTATGTTTAGCCTTCTTTCCACTGACTCTGCCCTGCGTTCTACTGCCTCCGTCATACTTTTCCGCCAATTTTACCCTCCTATTCGCTTCCCTTTTCCAGTGTTCCTTCCTCCTCTTCTCCTCCAGAATCCTCAACGAATCCCGGGTTTCGTCGTGGATGTCTGCATCTGTATTCCACAAGGCCCTAAGGGTCTTGCTACACTTCACCCGCGCATCCCCATCCATGCCTTTACTCTTCTTCCTGAAGGTTTTCACTTTGTGTCAGTTGGTCTCAAGGTTCTTCATTATTTCTCCTAATTGGGCCACGATAGCTTTAACATTTAGAGGACTATCACAGTCCAACGCCTCCCCTTCTGAGGAAGAGGAGGATTTCTCATTTATCGGGACCACCATATCTTCTCCTGTTCTTCCTCCTTCTCCTTTTTCTCTCTGGGGGGCCGATTTTGATGGCTCCTCCTAAGATGGTTTCCCTGTCTCTTCTTTTTTCCTTCTCTTCCTCATAAACTCCTCCTTTAAGAATAACTCCGACAGCAACGACACTTGTGGTGACGTCGTCGTCGTCTCGCCCCCTTTTTCTCTCTCTCCTTCTCCATTCTCCTCGCGGCGGTAGCAGTAATTTCCGGTGCGCCCGCCATTGACGCACCGCCAGTCGTCTTCTCGTTCGGCCCAGCGCTCGTTGACGACAAGCGAAAGGTCTGAGGCCATAATCCCTCCATGTCGGCGCAATAGCTCTGAAATTGCCGCAATTTTCTTTCTATCTTTTATAATCTTATTTTGCTATGGGGAGCTTAACGGCGGCCCCCCTCCCAGGTGACTTATCGGGCCACCCTCTAGGCCAGTGTGGTTTTACGGAATCTTTGGGGCCCGCCTTGCCACCGCTGTGGGACCTCAGAAACTCAACCCATCCCGACATTTCCCGAAGTCCCTAATACTCCCGTGCGCAGCTTCCTATACGGGAGCAGCGCCGGCGGACCAAGCCGCCAACGGTCGTGTTTGTGGGAGACGCAAGGTTGCCAGGATGCGGCACCTCCTCAATGGGAGGGCCAATGTATTGGCCCTCGCGACTCCATTCCAATCGTTAGAAATCCGTGGACTCTACCTCGGAATACATCCGAGCAGCTCCGCGGATTCCAGTCGCCCGGCCTCAACCTCGAAATCGTTTGAGCGGCCCGGTACACCTCTCTACTCCCCGCATACCGTGAGGCTACGCCTCCGATATGCAATCGTGGGTGTGGGTTCCTCTCGTCTTTCGACAAGGACCATAGTCCATGTCGAACGGGTCGAGGGTATCCCATCTTGCTGGGCTGCCGAAGCATCGGCGTGCAATGCTTACTGAAGGTGGAATCTTCTTCTCCCCCGAGACGGGACAGCATTCCTGCTCACTTCGGAGCGGAGGTCTCTCCAATCCAACCACTTCCCTATGATTTTTTTTATCGAGGTTTACTCCTATGGGCTGGCGGAAAAGCAGTTCTCTTTACGGTCTCAGCCGGCCGGGCGTTTGTAGTCGGAGCCACCTTTTCTTACTGGCAACTGGGCCGGAGCCCTAACGGGGTGGATCGTTGATCGCGGGCGTGCCCCGCGCTGTAAGGGTCGGGTTACTCGCATCGGCCGCTCCATGAGCTGATCGGGTGCGCTTCCCTTTCACTAGTACTCTCGGGCGCAGCTGTCCACCTGGGAGGATCTTTTAGTCGCCTCATACGACGCGCAAGCCATACATTGATGGTATTCTTATGCTCCGTCGCCCACACGGAAAATCTCTTGCCTTAAAAAGAAAAAAAGAAAAAATGAGCTCTGATATCATGGTACACAATTGCAAAATGCAGATGCAGGGGATTTTTTCTCTCCTGGGCTGATCGTTCCAACGATCAACTTTCAGTCTTGAGCAGACATCTCATGTGTCGAGACGTATTGTACCTTTGTAGTATTCATCATAATTAGTTATTTCTTTGATTCTACAAAGGCATACAGAAAGAGTAAATAATCCAGAAATTAATTTATATTTATTTTTATTTATTAATATTATTTTTTAATATATTATATTGTAAAATTTAGAAGATGAAAGCGACACCCGAAGAACTTGATAAAAATTTGAATAAATATTATGGCCCAATAGACGGAGTGCGGCCGGAAGACCATTTGGGGGAGCTTATTTATATTACACTCAACGGAAGTTTTTGTTTAAAAAATTTAACAGCACAAAATGTTTACATACAAGACGGACGATACAGAAGGAGGAAAATGTGCGAAAATTATTTTAATCAACTAAAATTATTTTAGATTAACTAAACATAATTATATATTAATATAATTATAAAAATATAAAAATTATAAATTAATATACACACAACATACTATTCATCATATAAGTACATACACACTATACTTATCATTATTTTGTGTACGTTGCAATGAACAAATAGTACAGAATGTGGGGAAAGCGATAGAGTGCCATGAGTGCATTGAACACTTCCAGCTCAATAAACAAGGTATACTCAATGCACGTGAAATCATAGTAAAAAAACAATATTAAAAATGCGTTACAAACATTTATAACATTTCTAATATTTATAACATTTTTATATTTTATACAAACATTTATAACATTAATAATATTTTACAACATTTATAGTTTTATTTAGCTATATTAATAAATTTATATGTTGCGTATGCCGTCAAATTTTTAATTATGCTTTACCTTACCCCTTAGTTTCTAAGCATAATTTTTGTAACAAAATAAATTAATATTAATACAAATAATCTGTACATGTAACACTTTCAAAATGTATAAATTATAAATTGTAATCACAAGACCTGCTGTTTATTTAAATTATTCCCTTTTCCTATTCCTTAATACACCACAAATTGTCTTAAAATATTATCTAATCTTTTGCGGAGCACAGCGAGTGATACATTATAAGCAAACGCTTGCAAAATCTTGTCGCGGTAGTACAGTGTACGTGCTCATTAGTAATAAGAATATCGTGTGTCACATTCTTCTCGCGTATCGTACTGTCGAATGCATACGTTTGCAAAATCTGAGATTTGTCGCACAATGTCCTTGATATTTAATACATTTGCAAATTCTTAGATTTCGAAGCTGCAACTAAAAAATATACGCCGTGAAATACGCGAGCGGACGGCGCCGCGAACGGTGCGGACGGCGCGAACGGCGTGAAAATCCGCCGGAAAATCCATCGCGGGCCGCGAAACGCAGCGGATCGATAAAATGATTAATTGAAAGAAAACTATAAAAATTATGTAAATATATTGGTATATAATATCGATAATAAATTACCGACCATTGGTAATATCGGTATTATGTAAATATGTCGGTAAAAATTATATAAATATCTGTTGGTATATAATATCAGTAATAAATTACCGACCGTAGATAATATCGGTATTGTATAATTATATGTTGGAAAAAATTATGTAATTAAATGTTGGTATATAATATCGATAATAGATTATCGATTGTTGGTAATATCGGTATGTTCTCCCCAATTACCGAACGCTGGTAATATCGGTATGTCCCTTCGTGACGTCATTTGTGTGACAAACAAGATACGATAAGAGAATACTTTGTTATGGATCCTTACTCGAACGTCGACTATTTGTATCTCTGTCAGACGTATGCAAAGATACCCAAGCATCTTATACGGGATAATGCAATCTGCTGATTCTCTATAAGCAGGATAGTACCAATTTGAAACCTGTGTATAACGATCACGTGAACACTGACATGACGTACAAAGATTTTTGTGCGCTGTGTCGCAAATGTTGGTAGCAAAAATATGGTTTCGAAGTGATAGACAAGGATAGTTCTATGACCAATGGACGATATCAGCGGGGATTTAACGATTTTGCGATACCGTAACGTGACCATTCATCGTTTGTGCGTCAACGAGGAAACGTCTACCACATTGTAATGGCGACATTGGTTGAAGGCTGCACATAAACGAGCAGCCCAAAGATTAAAAGATAGCGAGAAGATAGCGAAGGAAATTGCGAAAACGAGCGAATCGATTCATAAAAAATATCGAGCTTTGAAAACCGATAAGATAGCGAAAGATATTGCGCTGGAAAGACACTTTCGACCTGTTATCGAGCCCCTGAAGCAGATTGTGGAACATATCACTCATGTGAAACCTGACGCATCGTTCATATTGGGAAATGACGCGTTATCGATTGAAGAGAAGAAACTAAAGCGCAGATCCGAACGCTTACTCATCGCCTCTACACCGATTTACCAGAAGCGGAAAAAATCAAATATCACGATTCTCCTACGGTAACCTCCACCCTAACAGACAACTTGCATCGTACACAATCGCGCGAAATGCCTCCACCACGTGTTACTCTGACTACAGATGAAGGTGTTTTCGAGATCACTGGCGATTCATTAGTAATATCGATTAGACTTGAGTTGCAAACGTCCCAGGGACAGGAAACTTTGCACACTCATTTTGGTCTATTGAGGCAAATTGGAGCAATCTTAAGCAGCGACAAACATATTACCATAGATTACGTGTATGGTGTGTATTTCAGCAGTGACGGGACGAAGCTCGGCGATAAAAGTTTCGACGTAGATATCGACGATAATATAATCATTGGCGGTGTAAAATACGCGGGAACACCTAGTCTATACGAGTAGATTTTCAAGAAAATTCCCGACGATGCCGTCTACACCGAGGCCGATAAACAAAAATACAAAAGTATATTACTGGTGTATTAATTAAAGTATTACTGGCAACAAATGGTCACTGGCGCAATTACAACGCGCTGAAATTCATATTGAGTAACAGTGAGTTCAAATCTAAAATATAATCGGCTCCTTAATGATTGATACATCGATCAACATGGCGGGCAGAAGTTAAACCACACCGTGTGCCATGATACTAAACGACAATGCGATCGACTACGTTCACTGGGACGATCACAACGAGCTGGTGAATGGTCTGCGGAAGCTTCACGACAAGCTGGCAATAACGCTCACGACAATGAAATTCTATTCATTATCGAGGAACTTCGCGAGGTGGGTCTTGTTATAAATTAAATTGCACATCGATGATATGCGTTGCTCGCATCCAAATGTCAATCAATAAATTTGGTGTTTCGCTCCAAAAGAGAGGACCGTCGACGATGAACTATTACTCGTGGAGGGGAGTACTCAGAAATTATGTACGCGATAGCGCTCTGTGCATGGTCGCCTCCGACTTTAATGCGAGATCGAGCAAAATACGATGTGCAGCGCAACCGGAAGCCAACAGTGACGCAGTCAATAAACTGTATGTGGAAAGAGGTCTCGCTACATTGGAAGAGAAACAGGAAGAATTTGAAAAGGAACAGGAGGAATTTAAGAAAAACCTGTTTAGGCTTTATGTAGAATCACGTACCATGTGGGAGAAAGTGTTTGCAGTGCGTGAACACATTGAATCGATGGAATTTAAGACAGTGCGCTCACAGTTTCGTCATTCGTGGTAAGGCGACCTCAACGATCAAACATGCGGAAAACTGGTGGAGAGGGGAAACAACACAGCCCCGAAACAACACAGCCCCGATTGATGAAGGAGATGCATGTTCCTGCGAGAAGGCATTTTCCTCGTAGACGCTCCATTGTGTGTGTATACGATGATCTGTGGCAGGCCGATGTAGTAGAGATACGTCCGTATTCGAGGCTCAACGTTGGCTGCCACTACACGTTCACAGTTATCGATGTGCTGAACAAGCACGCTTAGGCCATGCCGCTAAAGGCTAAGAGCGAAAAGAAGGTAGCCGAAGCGTTCAGCAAGATAATTCGAGGTAGCGGAAGATGTTCAACAAATTTGCAAATCAGCCAAGGAAAAGTATCCTACAATAGCGATGTACAGAGACTTGAGAAGAAACACAGCATCAATTATTATACGACGTATTCGGTTATGAAGGCTTTCGTTGTGGAACGATTCAATCGTACACTGAAGAATGATATGTGGAAAGTGTTTACACTACAAGGAACCTACAGATGGATCGCCTCGTTACCGCGTCTCGTGTCACAATACAACGAGCGCAAATATTGGACCATCGGTATGCATCCTATCGATGTGACCCCTACGATCGCTAAAAAACTCCTAAGTACGGTCTACAGCAACGTAAAGTTTGCAGCTCCGGCGATTCAAAGTGAGCGACCCAGTACGTGTGAACAAGTTCAAGACTGTCTTTGTTAAAGGTTACACGCCCAATTGGATTACTGAGATGTTTAAGAACGTCAAGGTGCAGGCGACCAATCCTGTGACCTATTTGCTTGAGGATTCTCACGGACAGCCGGTAGTCCGAGGTTTCTACGAGTACGAACTGCGTCCCATTGCCAATCCAAACGTATACTTGGTGGAAGAGATGTTCCGTAGAAAAGGCAATAAGGTTTATGTGAATTGGCTGCGATTCGATAAATCATGCAACTCGTTGATACACAAGGATAATGTGTTATAAAAATAAGTTTATTATAATGTTTGCTATATCTTATTATATGTATTACATAAAATATATGGGTTTTATGGCTACATAAAATGTATATATTCTATTTATACGTAAAATGTACGATTTATATTCTATTTACAATGGTAATTTGTAATGTCCTCATTGTAACGTATCAGTCGATCGGGTACAATATACCGCTTATCGTCATACAGACTTAGAACAATTTTCATTTCAGACACTGTGTACACTTCATGCAATTTTGATCTTATGCACGATTGATGGTGAATCGTTTCGATTTCCTCTTTCAAACAC